AGGAGGAGGTTTTTCTTTCATGCTCGACTTCAATAAATTTGATATGTGTCCGTGTTCTCCAAAACGTCTTGTAGCTTGTCTGTCTGTTTTTCCAACATAGACCGATTCACAATCACACTTTTCAATTTTATAGACTAATTTGGATTGAATATCTTTTGGAATTGGATCTTTATTATGAAAACTATCTCTAACGGCTGGTGGTGGACGAGGAACCGTTAACAAAACTGTATTTGGTCTGACTGCCTTGGCTAAATTTCGAAGTCTTTTACCAAAAACTTTAGTAGCTTGTCCTGTAAATGGTATATCTAACACTATACATTGATTGATTGTAATTTTTGGTTTTTCAATGTCGACCGCTTTAATTTTGATAGGAATAATCTGTTGATTAATTTTCTTTTCTTTATCATAGTATCGATTCAGAGTATTTCTAATTTGATTTTCAATAAACTGAGTTGGATAACCATTTCTAGCTGCTATTTGTCTTATAAACTGAAATTCTTTACACATTGTGTGTGTTGAACAAATGCGAATACCTCGATAGACCATACTACTGATTGCTGAAATCTTATAATGTTTTGGAACGAATGAAGACCATTTGGTGAGAAGTCCTATGTAAGTGTCTTTTCTATAAACTGATGTTGAGAAATTTTGATCATGTTTTTGAATTAAAACGTCAAGGAACGATAGTTTGTTGTTTTCTTCTTCTGCACAAGTGAATTGTATATCAGGATGAATACCATTCAATATTAGCTTAATCTTTGTTATATCTGAAGTAGGTTCAACTAAGAGAAATGTATCGTCAACGTATCGACGATAAAATTTTACTCCTTGTGCTTCTAATTCAGGCATTAAGTGTTTTCAAAATAGATCATGCATATATCAGCTATAATTGGTGCCAGGGCTTAGCCCATGGACACCCCATTCACTTGTCTGTATATTTTTTATTGAATATGAAGTGTGTTTCAGAGGTTGCAATAGTCAATTAACGTTTCATATCATCACGATCTTGGCAGTTTTGGCACCATTCTGATTTCTTTCTCTTTTTCTTTGAATTTGAAAACTGACAGTCATGAAGCTGACCATATAATCTCTCTAAGATATAATCGATGTTAAACTGAAGAGGAACCATAGTAAAAAGACTGGTTACGTCAAACGAAATCATTTTTAACTTGCACATATTTGATGGAAGTTTACGAATCATATCCACGAATTGAAAAGTGTGATTGTGAATCGGTCTATGTTGGAAAAACAGACAGACAAGCTACAAGACGTTTTGGAGAACACGGACACATATCAAATTTATTGAAGTCGAGCATGAAAGAAAAACCTCCTCCT